GATGGTCAAATGGTGCTGACGGGATCCACACAGATTATTGCTGATCACAAGTGGCAAAAGTGAGTGTTCATAGGAGACGAGACTACAGTCCCTGTGACTCCTAATCACATGCATAAGAAGGAAATTTTTAGTCAGTATTAGCTACAAATACACATGCAAGTGCTATCATTTCTTCGCTAATTCAGCTTGTTGTACATTTCAAGAGACATTTAAACCCACTAAATTCTAGGTCTGGGCTACCAAAAAAGAAATAATTTACAGATCCTGGCCTCAGAGATATTGTAATGGTTATGGTATTTTAAAATAGGCATTTAAGAAACATACACATTTGAAGTAAAATTTCAACATGCCTATTTGTTTTTTAAGCATGCTCCTTTAAAAACAAAGCAGTATGTGATTGATATCAAATGGTTGATGTTTTTAATCCCTTTACAAACATTTATTAACTACAAGGCATGATGAGTGGATCTGAGATACAATGATCCTGAGACTTGAAAAAAAAATAGTATCATGTTCCCAGGATTTTGTCATAGAGGAGAAATAGAACAGAATTTGTCACAAGGAAAAGTAAAACCATCTCTTTAATTATGTTTTATTTACTACATGTTCTGTCTTTCATTCAAAAATTGTATTCTTGAATAAGTTTGCCCCAGTGGATAATTTCATGAAAAACTCAACATTTTATTAAAGACTGGAAATTTTCACAGCAAAAGGAAGAAATGTCTCATTTCTGATTTAGAGTATCAAAAAATTTTTTGAGATAGGGTCTTACTGTTAATTCAGGCTGGGCTTGAACTCACTGTATAGTGCAGGCTGGCCTCAAACTCCTAATAACCCTCCTACCTCAGTCACCCAAGTTCTGGGATTACAGGTGTATACCACAATGCCCAGCTTCAAATAAATTATTAATAAAGACCTATAAAATTGTTTCTCAGGCCAAGCATGGTGGCACACCCCTGTAATCCTGGCATTTGGGAGGCTGAGGCAGGAGGATTGACAGGAGTTCAAGGCCAGCCTGGATTACAGAGTGAATTCAAGGCCAGCCTGAGCTCTATAGTGAGACTTTGTCTCAAAGAAACAAATAAACAAAAAAAAAAAATGGAGCTGGAGATGTAGCTCAGTGACATCATACCTGCCTGGCAAGCACGAGGTCCTCAGTTCCATTCCTGGTACCAAAATTAAAATTAAAATTAAAAAAATTAATTTATCAGAAGAACAACAGAAATAGGGGGACAAAGATCATTTTATTTTTCAACAAAACCTAGGGGAAATTAGCTAAATCAGAGCCGACATATGAGAGCACAACTATAAACCAGTCAAAGGCAACTGATAGCTTGTGTGGGCTGTAAATAATGGAGTAAATTGGAGAGTACCAGAATTTGAACCCAAGTTATTCAGTTCAGAGCCCACATAACTGATCTCTGCACTTTGGCAACTGTTCATGTTTATATGGTCCTTTGTAACTTATGGACCTTTATTCACTTTTTCCCCCTATGACATCTTGGGAAAAGGTCTTACACCCAGCAGTATAACCAAAACTTATACACAGAGCTTACAAGAAATACAATCAATACAAATATGCTTGTGCCCCCAATAACATGTCCTGCCCTCAGTCTCCTCCCTTCAACCTTTGCATATATAATATGCAGTAATAGTTTTATTTCAAATTTTAATATATTAGTAGAATTAATCTACTGTATGTAATCCTCTGCAGTTTGTACTTTTCTCTATTACATTATGAACCCTTTTCACTATTGTACAGTTTTCCACTGAATGACTATATTACAGTTTTTTCATTCACTCTCTTGTTAAAGGACATTGTAACTATTATCAGCACTTTGTTTCTTGTTTTAATTTTTTGCTTGTTTCTCCACTTTTTCCTTGGTTATCAACAAAGGATACTATAAAATTCTTAGGACTCCTCATGAGTGTATTTGAGTTTCTCTGCAGGAAATACCCAAGGGAAAATTTCTTCCAAGAATGAGGGTATTCATTACTTTCCAATGGAAGCAAGTTCTGTGACCTGGTCAGGCCTTCAGATGACCCAGCCAACATCTTGACAGCGACTTCATGAGAAATCATGACACAGAACAACTGTGTCTCTAAATTAGTCCCAGAATTTTAATGCTCCATAGCTATGAGGTAATAATTTTTTGATATACTAAGCTGCTAAGTTTAGGAGAAATATGTTATACTGTAATAGGTAACTATCAAAGAAGATGTATACTGATAGTGACTGAGAAAACAAATTCTGAGCCACACTGCCCAGGTTCAGATTCTGTTTTCACCACTCAACCATGGCTACTACAGCTTACTCATCTGCAAAGTGGGGAAAGGAATAACACAGCACAAAAGACAGCTGTGGATGGAGTGGGTACAAGTAAAGCACCTACAAGAGTCCCTGGTGCAAAGAAGCACTCAAGAAGGGTTAATTCACAGAGCAGCCAATCTGAGTGTAAAACTGAATGCTCAACCTCACCAGAAATCTGGGCAACAAATTAAAACCACAATGAGACAAATTTGTTTCCCCATAAAAGTGGCAAAAAGTATAAATTCTTAGCTTGAGTGGTAGTCGCATGCTCTTTTTGTGATAATTCACCAAGAAGTCTGATTTGAGCCTTTTTTTTTTTCTTTGAGTTAGGGTCTTGCTATATAGTTCAGGCTGGCCTTGAACTCACTATATAGCCCAGGTCGACCTTGAACTTTGCAGCAATCCTCCTGTCTCAGCCTCCTAGAATTCTGGGATTATAAGCATATGCCACCATGGCCAGCTCAAGCACATTTTTTTTTTTTTTTTGTACCAGGGATCGAACTCAGGTCCTTGCCTTGTGAGGCAGGTGGCAGAACCACTGAGTTAAATCCCTGGTCCCTGGAGCACTTATAGTATATTATATTTCAAAAAAAAAATTTTTAAAGCCAGGCATGATGGAGCATAACTATAATCCCAGCACTCAGGAGTCTCAGGCAGGAGGATCACTGTGAGTTCAAGGCCAGCCTGGACTACCTAGCAAATTCAATGTCAGCCCAAACTACATAGAGAGATCCAATCTCAACAAACAAAAATCACCTACACACACACAAAGGCATGTAAAAATTTCAGTCCTTCCCCACTCCACCCAAAGCCAGAAAATGCTTTATCAATGCCAAATTTTAGCAAATACATGAGACATAAGAATTTTCACATCTTCCTGGTACAAATACATACTAATTCAACCAATTGGAGAGCAATTTGACAAACAGTAGCAAAGTTAAAATGCACTACTAAGGTTTTACCTGAATTATAAAACAACAAATTTGTGTATCTTTTTTAAACATTTTAACGAATCATTTTTTGTAATGTCATTAAAAATTTACTCTTAGAAATTTTGAAATACACATTACATTATTATCATACTCACCCTGCTTTACAATAGATCTCAACAAATTTATCCTAGCTGAAACTTTGCATCCTTTGACCAATGTCTCCCTACTCTCTGTCTTTCCCCACCACCGCCTTATCCGTTTTCACTAGGGTACCGAGTCTGGGTAAGGGGGACATCAACAACAGCACTAAAGGACAGGAGATTTAGCTCAATGCTGCCGCCTGCCTCACAAGAACAAGGTCTGGAGTTGGATCCCTGATACAATTTTACTCGGCAACAACAGCACTAAAATTTTGTGACTGGACACATTTATATTCTTTAAAAGCCTAACATAACAGAGAAAAAATGTTGTGTCTACTTACAGCCCCAGGGACAGCATGAAACACATGCACAGTAGGCTGAGCACTCTGCTATGTGCCTCTGAAAAGGAGAATTCCTAGGCAAAACTATAATCGGAGCATTAAAAAACAAAAAGGACTCCGAACCTGAATAAAGAATGAATTATATTAGGAGCAACGAAGAGTGGGAAAAGGGACTGTCTCATAGTTAATGCAGTACTTTTTTTAAAAAAATATTGTGATAAAAATTATAACACAAAATATGCCATTTTTTATTTCAAAACTTTCCCACTTTTATTTAAAATTTTTAACAGTGAAGAATTAGGGTTTTTTTCCTCATTGAGTTTATTGGTTCATTTTAGGTATACAGTATAGTTACATTCATTATTGGAGTCTTGTACCTTTATGTGACAGGTCTCAGTTCTCATTTTTTCCCCTTGTCCCTGCCCTCCCTTCACCCCCTCCTCCCCTCCCCATTTACAAACACTTCATTTCCATTTTTTCATTTTCTCATATTTCTTTCTTTCCCATTATTCCCTTTCCCCTACCCTTCCCACTTTCCCTACCCCTTTAGCCCCTTTCTTCCTGTTTCACATTGTCCATTATCTCATGAGGACCTTATGTACTATTATAGTTTATTCACACCAGAGAAGCTATTTGGTATTTACACATATGTGACTTATTTATTTTACTTAGGAGTATGTCCTCAATATGTATCCATTTTCCTATGAATGACTCTAATTTCTCATTCTTTATGGCTGAGTAATATTCCATTTTATAGAAAAACCACATCTTCTTTATCCAGTTTCCAACTGATGGGCAAGTGGGCTGGTTCCAAGTTTTAGCTAACAATGAAGAATTTTTAAGATGTCATTAAATTCTATTTGCTATACAATAGCCATCTAATTCCAAATAGTATATACAGTATAGTAACCGTTTAAAGATGTAAAATAGTTCTAATTATTACTATAAGAATTTGACAAAATACAAAACATCCTTGCCATAAAACTGACAATGTAGCTTAAATAGCTTATAGGATTTCAAAAATGCCTCCTGAAAGAATGAGAGAGCTAGGAAGGAACATCACACAACTACAAGACACATACTTCCTCTGTGTCAGACTGCCACCACCTAATGACAGTGACTTATGATACATAAGAAAATATAGTATGCTCTTTAGAAGGAATGAAATGATACCTCTCCTGCTGGGCATGGTGGTGCACGCCTGTAATCCCAGCAGTTGGGAGGATGAGGCAGGAGGATCGCTGTGAGTTCAAGAGCAGCCTGGGCTACGCAGTGAGTTCCAGGGCAGTCTGAAATGCATAGTGAGACCCTGTATCAAAAAAAGAAAAAAAACCCAAACAAACAAACAAAAGAAATGAGACCTCTCCCAAAGTCCTGAAGAGCTTTTCAAAGAACATAACCTTAAAATGCGTAAGATCATTGATACGACATGTTAAAGGATTCCCCTAAATTACAATACCCTCCTCAACTATAAAGACAAATCAAATATAAACACACTTGTATATTCCAGACTTTGTTTATCCACTCATCTGTTGAATATTTGTGTTGCTTCCACATTTTGAATTATATATAATGCTACAGTGAACATTAGTGGACAAGCATCTGTTAGTCCCTGATTTTTGTTATGGCCTGGTTTGGTCTGGTTTGGTTTTAGTGCTGAAGATTGAACTAGGACCTCACAAACACTAGGCACACACTCTACCTCTGAGCTCAACTTCCAGCCCAATTATTGTGGTTTTGATTTGCTTTTCCATAATAATCAGCAATACTGAGCATATTTTATGGAGCAATATCTATTCAGATTCTTTTGCCATTTTTTAATTGGGTCATTTTTCTTTTTTGTTGTTGCACTCTAAGTTTTTATTTATTTTGGATATTAAACCTTATCACATATATGATTTGCAAATACTGCCTCCCATTCTGTAGGCTATCTTTTCATTTCCCTACTAGTGTATTTTTATGCATAAACTTCTTTTATTTTGATCAAATCTATTTTACTATTTTTTTTATGCTGTTCTCTGGTACCACATCTAAGAATCCATTGCTAAATCCAAGGTCATACTGATTTGCCCCAATGTTTTCGTCTAGGAGTTTTACTGTTTTAGCTCTTATATGTGATTCATTTATCTATCCAGTACTTTTAATTAACTAATGATACATGTTTATCAAGTACACTTCAATGCTATGACATAGTTATACATTGTAGAATGATTAAATCAGGCTAGTTAATATATCCATTGCCTCAGATATTCATTTCCTTGTAGTAAGAATATTTCAAATCACTTTTTACAATCAGTTGAATATTTTGAAATAGCTAGCAGAGATTTTTGGATGTTCTCACCCCAAAGAAATGATAATATTTAAGGTGGCAAATATGTCAATTGCCCTGATCTGATAAATATATGTTGCATGAATGTGCTTAAATGTCACACTATGCCCCATGAATAGGTTGAATCATTACATGTCAATTAAAAATAGAGGATGGAAGTACAGTTCAGTGATGGAGTGCAAGCCTAGTATGTGAAAATCCCTGAATTCAAATCCTGACACCACAAAAATCATCTTTTAAAGGAAAAAAATCTACTCTGAGCAATACTGAAATATATAATGCATCATTACTACCTGTAGTCACTATGCTTTGCAACAAATAAGAGAACTTAACTCTCGAAGTCTACCTGAAACTTTGTATCCTTTAATTAATACCTCCTCTTTCCTCGGCCACTCCCCACATCTGCTTCTTTTGATAGGTGTAAGTAAAATTTCTTTCATAAAGTTATCATATAAACTATCTAAAATCATTTAAAGAAAATTAAACACAGAGTAAAATAGTTTGGAATCTCTTAATCTCCCTACTCTCCTCTCCTGACTGAACATCTGCCTGGATCAGCACCAGTGACCACAGGTGATCTACTGACAGCCACCTTTCAAAGGGAAGATGCTGTTGGAATAACTACCCTTAAAAGCTGTTTAAAAAGAAGGCTATAAGTGTAAGTTAGTGGTAGAGCACTTGCCTAACATGCATGAGGCCCAAGGCTTGATTCCTAGTGCCAGGGTATGGGGGAGACCCTTGTATTTTCATACAAAGCCACACATCCTATGATACACTTTAAATCATTTCCATATTGTTCATGATATCTAATAAAATATAAATGCTAAGTAAATAGTTGTTAATACTGTATTGTTTGGGGAGTGATAACCAAAAAAGAATGTCTATATGTGTTCAGTGCACTTTTTAAAATTCTCAGTCTGTACTAAGTTGAATCTGTGCAGGTGTTATCAGGATTCAGAGTGTTTGGACTTCTTCGAAAAACCTTTCCAGATTCGTATTGTCCGGAATAAAGAACTGTCATGCAAAAGGAGTGAGGTTTTACATTTATTAAAGGTAGGAAAAGAAATAGTTTCTGCAGAGTGAGTGTGGGCCACTTAAATGTAGGAAACAAAGTATACTTTGCAGAGTGAGAGCAGGCTACTGCAGAAGACAGAGCAGAGTGGCAAGGAGGTTACTGGAAGCTATCTTTTGTATCTCCCGTTCCTCAGTTCCTCAGGCTGACACTATCTAGGCTGTCCTATCAAAAATTTGCTTGATCGCCTGCTAGAAGAATTGAAGAAAGCATTTTCTGATTGGTCCTGGGCTCAGGTCTTGGGTGCTTGTGTCCTGGATCTTTGTGGTTAAAGGGTCACACCCACTTGGCCAACTGCTTGGCCCCACTCTAATCTCCTGTCTCAGATGTGGAACTTATGAATACTAAAGGCTGGCTGTGTATACTCCACGGTAGTAAGCTAACGCTGAAGAAAACAGATACGTTCCAACAGTAGATACTACACAAACTTCTGATATAGGTATCTCTAATCAGCTACAGAGGTTTGACTTACTAGCATTTGTGATTATAAAAATTTTTTCAATAGTGAAACTAGTGGCTCAAGAACAATAAAGGTTTTTCCATCTATGCATGAACAGGGTATGAAAATCCAGCAAGCCCCATTATCTGCACTCTTAGGAATGGCCCATGATTTCTAAATAATCTCAAGTTGAGCTACTGATTCAGAATTTTCATGGATATATTTTCCCCCCAGTACTTAGGACTGAACCCAGGATTTCTTGCATGCTAGGCAAGTGCCTGCCCACTGAGCTATGTCCCGAGCTTAGATCCACAGACATGTGATTCCACTGGCCAACAAGCTGGATCCTGCCTCCTAGATGACTGATGCATTAAGGCGTTGCAACACCTAAAAGAAGAAAGAGCACAGAGCACAGATCCCATGGGAGGTCTCTTTTGTATTCACCTATTAGTATATATTTGTGCGTGCATGTGACTGAAATTGATCTAAGATTTACTATCACCGTGAACAGACAGAAGAGTTGAAGAGAGGAGACACAGACATCATTAACAGAAAATTTTACAGATTACTGCTATTAATAAAAAAGAATCTAATTTGTAACAGAGGCCACTCCTTTGGGATTTAGTCCTTTGCAGAGTTACTCCCCCTCCTTTCACTGTCATTCTAAATTCTAAAGAAAAGCTGCACCTGAATGATTTTCATGTTAACTGCTAAATAATCAATTTTCTTTGGGGTGTTTAGGATTAAACCCAGGGCCTTTGCGCTGAGCTACATCCCCAGCCCTTTTTATTTTTTAAGACAAGATCTCTTTCAATTGCTAAGTTGCCCAGGCTGTGCTAGAGCTTGGAATCCTCCTGTTTTAGTCTCCCAAAGTACTTACATAATCTCTCTCTAGACTTACAGAACCCAAGACATCTGGTGACCTTCAGCTGGCCTCATGTATAACGCCCTCTTGTTTTGCCTGTGCATCAGCTAACACAAGGCATTTAAATTGCTATGAAGTTTAACTTGCAGAAAAGCAATATGCTTGTCTAAATAATTGTAGGAACTAGCCTCAAGCAGTCAAGGTTGATTGCAATGTTCTGTCCAGTGGGAGAAAAAAGGGATACATAGCCTGGCAAGGTGGTGCAAGCCTGTAATTCCAGGAGGGTAAGGCAGAAGGATCACAAGTCCAAGCCCTGCCTGAGCAACTTAGTAACACCTTGTCTTAAAGGAGAATAAAAATATGAAAGGGCTGGAGACATAGCTCCTCATGCAGGCCTTGAGTTCATAACGTAGACACATGTCCTGGACGATGAAGACCATGCCCAGCATGTAGACTTTCTACCCATCGTCCCGTTTTGCCTTCTTTGCCTATGAAAGCTCTTTCACACACTGAGTTCCCTAAGATCGGCTTGTTTTGGAGGACAATTGCCCCACTCGTGCTCTTTAGATTCTGGCCTACAGATATATTCTATTTCCTTCCCACCAACTCTCAGTTCCTAAGTATTGGCTTTTGATTAGCAGGCAGATAGGCTTGTGTCTGGTAACAAATTGACATACATGAGTTCACACTTGACAAATGGCAAAAACAAATCAAAAGCATGTCCATCTAAAATCAGAGCCCATACTCTTTCCTTTATTTTATATTAGCTTTCAGAACTGTTACTATTATAAATGTGGTGCTGGGAATCAAAGTCAAGACCTTGCACATACTAAGCAGTGCTTTACCCTGGGCTACATCCTCAGCCCTCTCTAAAAATTATGACCAGCTGTTTTCATTATCATTGTTAATTACTAGTAGTGACTATTTCTAGATCACCTGGTTTTCATTTTCTGTAAACTCGATATATAAAAATCTAGGGCTTTCCAAAAGACAAATGATACAATACTTCAGATTCTTCATTCTGTGAAAGGTCTAACAAGCTTTTATCCTTCTCAAAAGGAAGCTCTTTTAGTCCACTTAACATGTGATTTAACTTATGAAAAATTAATATCCAGCAAAGAGAGCAGTGAGGATAGGGAGTTGAAGAAAGAATGAGTAATCCAATTGGTGGGAATGTAGAGAAGGGCTGAAAAGAACTTTGGAAAGGTAATTTTGCTATAATTCCATATGACTGTGCCTTTTTAGGCCACCTCTGCTTAGTCTTAGAGTGCCTAATCAAAAACACAAATACGAATCCGATTAAGACTACATGACCACCACCTGCCTCACAAGCTCAAGGTTGTGAATTCGATCCCCGGTACCAAAAAAAAAAAAAAAAAGACTATATGAGACTGAGGGTGTAGCTCAGTGATAGAGCACTCACCTAGAATGAATGCAGCCCTGGGTTCAATTCTAAGCACTGCAAAAAAAATAAAATAAAATAAAAAAGACAGTGCAAAATTTTAAAAATATTTTCCTTGTTTTAACTTAGATACATGTCAAAGGAAAAATTACAGCAATTTGGTTTAAGAATCTTTATTGTCTGTTTTCCATTTTAGATTTGAACATTTCATTCTGTGAAGTAGAATTTGGGGGGAGGGGTACCAGGAATTGAACTTGGGTCCTTGTGCTTGCAAGGCAGGCCTCAGAACCCCTGAGCTAAATCCCCAGCCTAGTATAGTTTTGATGCTCTTAGCAGAAGTTGGTTTTATAGACAGAGAAGACTGAGAAAAGCAGAAACAAAGCACAAAGAATAGATTGGCTATTTTAAAGTTACTTCTCTTATAAGAAGGGGATAGGGAAATAGAAAAATTATTGACTACTTAACATCACATTGGACTGGAGATGTAGCTCAGTGGTGCCGCCACCTGCCTCACAAGCGCAAAGTCCTGAGTTCGATCCCCGGTACCAAAAACACAACAACAAAAAAATCACATTACTTGAAATCACTTACTTTGTGTAAGGATTAAAGCAGAGGGAATTCATTATCATGACAATTGAAACTGACCTGTTTGGGGAAGTTGGCTGTTATCTCTCATTTCTCCTGGTTTCTTGAAATATCAGATAAAGAGCTTAATTTTTATTTGAAACTGTAGGATGAATGACTCTGTTTTGATGTTTAGTTTGATCTGCTGAGGCCATATACAAGAACTTAATCCAACACAAAGCTCGCTAGACTGTTAACAATCATAGAGTGCATACTTAGTTGTGCAGCCCTAAACATGTTTAAATGTTTATACGCATACAACACTGCCCAGAACAAAATACAGAACATTGCCAGCAACCCAAGATGTTCATTCCACCTTCTTACTAATACTCTCCCCAGCCCCAACAGAACTTACTATTCTGACTTGTATCACCAAATGGGTTTGCTTAATTGTACTTGAACTTTTCATGTAAATGAAATATACCGTTTTGCAATTTCCTTTACATACCTTTATGTCTGTGAGATTCATTTATTTTACTGCAAGTAGTAATCATATATTTCCTATTTCTGTATGGTACTCCATTCCGTTAATATATACCTTAATTTGTTCTTCCATTGAGCTGTGGAACATTTGGATTGCTTCCAGTTTGGGGTGTGAAACATTCCTGAAGAAACCACTGTGATAGAAATTCTTCAGGCAACGACCAGATAGATGACATCGTCCATCTACGAGGAGGTAGAAAAGCAGGCAAGTTTGTGAAGGCCTATAAAACAAGACACAGAAGCTTATAAGGGCTATTCAGCCTTTAGAAACCAAGACGTTAGTCCTAACTTTTATATCTAACATTTTCATCACTAGTAGGTAAATTTTCTGAGGTGTACTATATGTTTGACTTGGTAAGCTATCCAAAACTTGGCAAAGAACAGATCTCTTCCTTTACCAACCTTCTCATGAGGGCATGGTCAAAATTTCTACTCTCACCTGTTATCCCAGCACACCTGTTAATAGCGCACACCTGTTATCCCAGCCCTCAGGAGTCTGAGGCAGGAGGATCGCTGCAAGCTCGAGGCCCCTGGGCTACATAGTGAGTTCAAGGTCAACCTTGAACTACATAGCAAAACCCTGTCTCAAAAAAAAAAAAAAAAAATCCTCTTTTCCTTAACTAGCTTGTGTAATGCTTCCACACACACAATTCACATCTTGACTTACAATTACGTGTGTTTTCTGTCTATAAAAGTTGTTACAACTCCCTTCTTCCTTGGAATACAAGTTCAAAACAATTTGAAGGGCTGGAGATACAGCTCAGTGGCACCATGCCTGCCTCACAAATGCAAAGTCCTGAGTTCAATCCCCAGTCCCAGAAAGAAAAAAAAAAGCAGACAAAACAATTTGAATCTGTGCTCCTGGGCCTAAGTTACTCACATTGACTCAGAACAAATAAGTCAGTCTTTCTCATTTTAAGCGTTCTTACATCCTCACATGTCGCGAACGGGCAACGCAGAGCACTGTCCAGCAGTGCCTCAAACCTGAAAGAGCAGCGATGTGGAGATGGGGCAGAGAGAAAGGAAGGACGCCAAGACAAGAGTGTGAGTCTGATCAAAGCGACGTTTATTGCAAACAAGCATCAGCCTTTTAAAGGCACATCAACAGGAAACACCTGACTCCTACAGCTAACGTCAGATCTTTAACAGGAAGTACCTGACTCCTACAGATCTCTGGCTATCCGAGTTTCTCTCGTGCAGGGTCAGAAACAAGTTTAACACGTGTAGTCCTTAAAGAGGAACAAATGTTATCTTTCAAAAAGCCAATGGGCCATGGTTGGCTTCCCACACTCACACAGATAAAATAAAATGTGAAATTGCCTCAATTTTTCTCTCATAGTCACTCAAAAATTTCTTTATATCCACTCTGCAGTCTTCCTCAGAAAAACAAATTTTAGCCCACACTTAGTAAGCCTTCAGCTTGTGCCTGGGGGCATCTCACTCTATCTCCCTTACACTGGGGCCTAACCCTGCTAGATGTAAACTCCTATCTTCAAACTTATTGTCTCACGTATGAGTTAATTAACTTATACAGTATTTCCTATTTTCTACCTGTTCTTAGTGGATAAAAGTTCTTCATTTTATGTTTTTTGAGGAGCTATGGGGTGGGGTGATTGTTAGGGTTTTTTTCTTTTTACTAATGCTAAATAAAAATCACAAGAGGCCACCATTTTAGACTAAATCCCTGCTCTAAGCCCCAACAAACCAAGATAAGAATTAAGAATCATTCAAGCTAAGGCTCCATATTGCCAAGCTAAAACTGATTTTCTGAGAAATAAGAATTAGAATGATAGTCAACTTCTGAAACAGGCCAGTTTCAATTGGTAATTGGTGTGATAATGAAGTTCTCTTTGCCTTAATTTTTTTTTCTTTTGGCTATAATGAGAAAGGTGGACTTAACTATTTTATTTTTTCTTTTTCTCTTTCAAATTTTAATTTTCACTAGTACATGTCTTTGTTACGTTCCTCATCACTAAGACACAATATCAGACACCAACAACTTAAATCATGAAAGGTTTATTTTGGCTCAAATTTCAGTAGTCTCAGTCTTCTCACAGTTGGCTGGCTCCAAGGCAGGATGCACAGGAGAATGGCAAAAGTCTAGCTCCTCACATCAGGATGTACACGAAGTAGAGAGAGTCTGGGGAGGAGCCAAGGAGGGAGACACAGCGTCCAGGCCACACCCCTCGGTGACTCACCAGAACCACCTACCTACAACTCAGATGTACTGCTCACGTAGCACAATCATCTTCCCAATACAGGAGCTCTGGGTGCCACTTTAAATCTAAACCATAGTAGCACATGTTTGCAGTACATAATGATTATATTCAAGTAAATAACCTGAAGTTAACCGGGTATTTTCTATTTTGCTGCCTCCCTGACCCTGGTTTACAAGGAAAGTGACTTTGGGTTTGTGGGGTTCTGGGGTTTGAACCCAGGGCATTGGTACATGCCAGGTAAGTGTTCTACCACTGAGCCACACCTCCAAATACTTTTTGTAGATAAGGAGATTTGCTACATTGCTCAAACTGGTTTTGAATTTGAAGGTTCAACTAATCTTCCTGAGGCAGATTAGGGCATGGTCTGTCAATCACAGAGATCCAAGACACTTGTGCAGGACAGGTCCCAAGCCTTGCACCTAGGACCAAGCAGGAAGTGCTACCTTCACTTCTTCCGGTGTGAAATCAAGCAGGTTTTTGATAGGGTAGCCTACATCTGACCTCAGCCTGAGGAATGGGAGATACACAAGGCATGGATCATTAAACTGTGGCTATTATGAGCTGTCCTTTTCCCAATAGCCTGCTCTCACTTTGCAGAGCATACTTCTTTTCCTACCTTTAAAAAATGTAAAACCTCACTGCCTCTTTCCTGTCTAGTCCAGTTCTTTGCTCAGGACAACAAGAACCTGGAAAGAATTTCAGGAAAGACCCCCTCCCGCCGTACTCCAGAACCCCAGTAACATTTCTGTTGTCACCAGCTAGTGCGGGTCTTTGCTTTTAGTAATAATGGAAATTACAAAAAAGGAAGTAATTTTGTTCCCTGATTTTATTACTTCCTTACCCTCTCAAGGAACATGTGCCTCCCCTCCCAACCGAAGGAAAATGACTTGAAATGACCAACTCCCTTGTTGTCTCTTCCTGCTGTCTTCAACATTCTTGTCTATAAAAACAACTTCCTTTTCTCTGCCCATCATAGAATGTATTCTATCTTATAGAGTAAAATGTCCAATTCTAAAATGGGGGGCTATGAAAGTTATTAAATTTGTTATAGTTTTGTCTTTCGATTCTACTGAATCCCCAGTGCCAGAAAGGGCATCTGGAACATGGTAGGTGCTCAGTAAATATTTCTTGAGTAAATGAAAGAAGGATTTTAAAAAAAAGGACGTTGTAATTGCCCACTTAACATTCCTTCCTACCTGGATTAGACTGAGTAGCCACACCTACTCAGTGAAACCCAGGAACTGTTAGGAAAGCCAGTTCTATCCCCCACTGTGAAGCAGGCAATACAGTCTATCTAGATTAAACCACATAATCCTATTTCTGCCCATTGTACTGCAGCCCAATTTTAGCCCATGAGATTGAGGGAGAAATTTACAGAGTGATCCTGAAAGACAGGTTTTCTTAATCTTTTGAGAGACTTTCTGGAAACCTCCATCCCCACTTCCCTCCCACTCCATCGCCAGCCCCATCCTCAGCCCGTAGGAAGAAAGAAGATACCCAGAGTTTGTTGCAAGTATCTTGTAATGTGACATGAAGCCAGGCTCTGGAGAAAAATGCCGCATGGGAGGCTGGGCGTGGTGGCAAACGCCTGTAATCCCAGCACCCAGGAGATTGAGGCAGGAGGATCGCTGTGAGTTCAAGACCAGCCTGGGCTACATAGTGAGTTCCAGGGCAGTCTCAGCTACATAGTGAGACCCTGTCTC